ACACACTGAAGCCTCTGGAGGCCCCCCATGCCACAACAGGTAGATGTGCCCTGAGGAAAGCTCCTGGAAGGAGCTGTGGCCCATGGGAGACCCAGGCTGGATCAGTCTGTTCCTAAAGGACTGTAGGCTGTGGAAAGGTCTGATGCTGGAGCAGTTTGTGAAGAACTGCAGCAGATGGGAAGGACCCCTCTTAGAGAACCTAATGTCCATTCTAAACATATACACAATTTCTAAAGCAAAAAAAATCTTTTGTTAGGTACTGAGTTTAAACTAGAAATACAAAAATATTTCTCTGATTTATCTAGAGCTATTCAATTCAACTGAAGAACTAATTCTCAGCTTAGCTCATATTCTACCAGCAGTGTCAGATGCTAAGTATTTCTGAAATATAAGTATGTGGAGCAAAAAGAAAAAGGCTTGACTTCCTTTAACTACCTTTTCTGCCTTTTTTTTTTATTTTTTTTGTTTCAGTGTGAATTTAAATGTTTATGGTGAAATTCAGATATCATGGGATTGAAAGCAAGTTTTCCAAAGACTTCAACAGAAATTAATTATTCCACTTAATTTACATAATGATGAACAAATTTACTTCAAGAATCACTAAAAATAATAAATAACTGTGCTCCTTCTGTGAGGTAATAAAAGAGCTTTTTTCAACTCTTCAATGATTTATGAGGGAGTGGATAGTATCTGGCCTTTCTTATTTGAAAAAAAAAAAAAAACGAAAAAATCAAAACAGTTCCACCAGTACTGTAATGTTGAGATTACTAAAAATGTACCTAAAAAGAAAATATTCAAACTATGTATCCAGTTTATGAACCTGTATTCTATAATATGAGTTTAGAAAGTAATATGTTGCAGCTGCGGTGACAGAAACACAAACAAATGGTATTATAGCAAACAGTTTCACAGTGTAAATTTTACTTACAGAAAGTATGACTGATGTCTTGGAAATGCTGCATTACTACATTGTGTAGCAGTTTGCATAGAGCAGCAATAGAATGAACTACTTTTTACTGTGGCATATAGTTTTAGATCAGTTAAATGATTCAGTAACTTACCAATGTGTTATATAATAGTTATACATACAACAATTCAGTGTTTTTATAATGTAACCTCAAATAAAAAGAAATACTGTTAACTACACTACAATAGAAAATAAATGTGTTATATCAGAGACAGTCACAGAATAAATAGTCACTAAATGATATAATTTAAAGACAACTGTGTAGTTGTAAGTCATGTGGAAGATAGTACTGAATTGAGATACATGTACATAATGGTTGCAATGTATGATCTTAGAGGTCTTTTCCAATCTGAATGATTGGAAAAGAAAATTACATATTAGATGATTAGATATTAAAACTGGTATTCATGGTAGCCCATTAGACTGAGATGCATTTTTTCTGGATCTAAATTCCCTGTTAGGAGACAGACTGCAACTCTTTTGCTTTATTTTTATTACCTCTCCAACGCATCCATAGCCTGTCACCTAGTGAGTGCATTGCACTGTGCTGTAAGAGTAATAATCAATGAGTTCAGGCAGAGACATTTTCTGCAGTTTTCACCTTAGGTCCAGCCTCTCCAGTTTTCTGCCAATTTTCAGAAAGTTCACACACATACACACATACACATAGACATGCACCCAAATCAGTATGCTCTCAGACGCTGAATACAGTAATCCTTATTTAGACAGATATATGGAATATATATGTTCGACAATGGCCTATACAAAATCCAGATTTTACTTATTAAAGTAATTATTTATGCACACATGAAAATGAGACATACAAATATTGGATATATGCAGAATTCTTCAGAGAATTCTTAAAATGGTATACAGTTTGCATAACATATTTGTATCTATACAAATCCTGATTATCACATCAAACAGAAGGGAGAAAAATTTTTTAAGAAGTCTTTATTGCCATGCCAAAACCTTCATCTCCAAGGCCTTGTACAAAGCTGAACTAGTCAATTTGTAATTAAATCTTATGGGATACAGCAGTGATACTCATTACAGAAAAGGCATTTTATAGTAAGCAATCTTATTTTCAACTACCAGGATGACACAAAAGTCACAGTTCACAGAAGCTTTATGTCTGTTATTTCATGCTGGAATAATGCTGCACAAACCAATTAACCAGTGTAATAGTGTCAAGATGTATTTAAAGAAAAAAATGTATCTGGCAAAATGCCTCTGCCTTTCTCATATTTATAAGGACCTGTGTATTACCAAGACAATAGCTTTACATTTGAAGGGCCAGCCTTTTGGGGTACTAAGAAATAAATCTCATAAGGCACTTAGACTACATATAATTAGTATAGGATGGTATAACTCCCATTCCACAAATAATTTTTTTTTACAGTTGGAAACCAAAACTGAATTAATAAACCAAAACTGAATAAAAATTATTAAAATTAAAGCCCTTCAGTTAATGCATCCATTAAGGTGCATGGAATGAGAGAATACAATGGTTTTAGCAGACAGCCGAATTAAGGCAGCAATGCACTGGTGGTAGTCTGAAGGTTTTTCACATCCATAAGTGCTTATAAGCATGGCCTATTTTTGTTTTTTTTTTGTCTTTTTGCTTGAAAGAAAACTCATTCAGGAATATTACAGAAAAAGGAGGGGAAGTGGGAAAGAAGGAAGATTAAAGGACTAATGAAAGATTTGAAGGGAGATGAATTTACTACTTTAAATTGAGCACAAAGTTCTGATTCCCAGAAAACTTCTTTCAGCAGATTCTTGTAGATTTCCAGGTAACTGAGATCTGTATAAGGTTTTACAGAGGAGTGTCGAATGTTTGTACAGCACATCTATTATTCAGATCTGTGAATAAGGATGCCACTGGATTCTCAGAAAGCGACCGATTCATGCAAGTTCTACTAAAATGAAATTATAAAATTCAGTCCCATTTTTAAATGGCAAGTGAATTTCAAAAATAATAAAACTAAATAAACAAAATGTGTCAGAAACCGTCACATGGCAAATCTTTGTCCTGTGACTACATGACTTTTCTAGGAAGATGCAAAGAACTTCATAGTGCTGCATCTCCGTAAGCAACATCAGCAACTGGAAGTATGAATGGAAAAAACTATTTCTTCCCAGATCCTGATTACTAGCTCCTCTCTTTTTAGTCAGTGTGGAGGACAATTTCAGTCTAAATCTGTAGATAAACCTCATTTGGATATTCACTTTGCCTCTCACTTCTTTTATCATGACAAGGAATTTACTTTAGACTTTTATCGAAATATCAACATATTTACATGGCAATTTCTAATTATATTCTGCTATGATGGAGCAGTGACACTTTTTCCTCTTTTAAATATTCAATGCTGTTTTAATTGGCTGAGCATTTCAGTTTCACATTTAAGCAAAGCAGTAATTTTTTATATATTCAAAAGGGACAGCCAGGTATATTTGTGAACACTAAAGGATGTTAGTGTTCACAGGATAACATAGGCCAAAAAACCAAGACAACTGCAGAAATGAAAAAAGTTAAAGCTGTTTTCAAACATGGAATTATGGAGGAGCAATTCTACTTCATTCAGAAGGAGGTATATACCTTCATCTCTTTATTTTCTTTAGAAAGAAATGAAACAACCAGGCTTAAAGAAATAAAATAAATGGAAATATTGCTGTAGAATTGCCAGATAGCCCATCTTTCTGATAGTTTATGAAGCAAAAGAAGAAAATGGAAATTAGTCAGTAAAATACGAATTTCTACAACTAGCATTCTAACTGTAATTTTCTAGACTACTGCTGAGGTTCTAAAGAGCTAAGAAAATCAGGTACATTTTTTTTCATTAAGTAGCAATGTAGTTAGAGCAGATAAACTTCCTTTCTCTTGTGCCCAGTTTTCTTTTACTTTTCACGCATTACATAGAAAAGAACACATATGGGATAAGAAAATTAAAAAAATCCAAACTCATCAAATGAATGACACAAGCACTGAAATAATATCTATGGTATTTAGGTGACATTTTCCAGATTAAAAATGTACATAAAAATGTTAGCCAAATATTTTCATTTTAAAAGGAAAAACATTGTACTGTGTACAGATTTTTTGGTATTTAGCAAGTTTAACATCTTTAGCATTACATGCTCAGAAGTCAACTAACACAGAATGCATTATGTTTCTAAAGGAGAAAAAAAGTTGGCTTTTCATGAGATGCTGTTTCCTGTTCAGTATTTGAAACTCACACTTGATTTGCAAGTGTTTAACTAGTTTCTGTTTTGTGTTCTTAAAAAAGAATTATGAATTTAACAATTTTAAAAGAATTATGTCTCCTTAAGTGCTTTTAAATGCTGTATTTGTCACCACTGCTTATTAGACAGACACAAAACATTCAAGGTCATAATCTGACTTACAGATTTTTCATTTAAAATACTGTGAATTCTAAATGATTGATCTAATGAGCTGTCTTTCATAAAGCCTTAGTAAGTACTAATATAATAAAAATTTCATTTTACAGTGGAAGTGGTGGGGAAGGAGATACAGGAATAATTTTTAACCCATGCAGTATAAAGTCTGTCATTTGGTCTACAATAAACTGTCCTTGTAAAGAGGAAAGAAACTAATTGCATTTGGTTTATGCTTCATCCTGGTATAGAACATTCACTTCTCAACTGAAAATAATGAATTGATTTCTGGACATATTTGACTGCTATAAAGACTGAGAGTAAAAAAATTGTAATATACCAGAAATGTTATAGTTTACATGTCCTTTATTGCATTAATTTTATACCAATTAATTGCATTAATTTATACCACAAGTTGGGAAGAGGCAGCAAAATATAACAAAGCATCTTTCTAATACTCTGTCCTAGTTATAGGGAAAGGAGACAGGGTTTAGCATTAGATGGGTGTGACCAATTATGTATTCTATCCCATTTCGCCATTTTTGATGGACTATCTCTTTAAGCACAGGAAGCAGAACTGTTTCTGTTGGCAGTTTCTGCTTCGGCTGTTACTGTAGCCACCACTCCTGCCAACCCAGAGGGGAAAGATCCTACCAAGAGAGAAGGACCCACCCTGCCCCAAGCTGCTTCAGGTGTTTTTCTTTCTCTAAGCAGTTTTTGCCACGGCCGCAGACTGGCACCATTACTTTTTGCACTGCCTGTTCCCTTTGGCTCACCCCACAGACCAAGCGAGAGCCTGCAGTCTGCTACTGCTGGCTGGTCTCTCACCACACACGGAAAGTAAGTTGTAACAAAAATATAGTTTGGGTCAATGTGACCTTTATCCATTGAAAATGTGCTGATTGACTTTTAGAAAAAATGCATTATTTTAAAATTAAAGGTTATTCACTTTCAGGATCAGGAGTTCTAGAAGATTTTAGGACAGTCTTAGGCTTGAATACACCTACACAAAAATATGCCCTAGATTTATCTCTGTTGTTAAACAGCACATTCCCCTGACTCCAAAAAGAGGATCTAGTGACAAAGAAAAAATTTAATCTATCTTTAATATATAATAATTTCAACAGAAACCATTGCTAGCAGATACTGAAAGACTCACTAGGAATCTTGACACAATGATTAGTTGCTTTTCAGTGGCTATATCAGTTGGAGACATAAACTATCCATTGAATGACTGTTATCTCTCTACATGATATTAAACAAAAATTCAGCTTTTCCCAAATAATATTAAAAAAACGTAATCTAGCGTAAAATCTCTTAATTAGTTGGAGGTTTCAGCTGCAAAATTCTTGATAGAAATAGATGTATGAATACTGTTCCATCAGGTAGCGTGGTCTTGACGACCCCTGAATGGGACTTGTTCCTAGTGGAAAGCAATTTAATGCTCTACTGCACATAGAATAGTATATATGAACGAAAACAGAATCCCCAAAATAAACAAAAAAAATCTCCCACCAAAACAATTACTGACAGGTACACCTGAATAGGACTGCTTATTAGTCACTTGTCTGTAGCCAGGCAAGATTGTTTCACCTCAGTTTAAAAGATAAAGACTCACGGCAGGCTGTCTCTGCAAGTTCTCATTAGGCAAACAGCCTCCACTGTCCATTAGAGGAAAAGTCTCCCTATTATTTAAGGAAATGTAACAGCAATGGAGGTGAAGTGATGGTAGGAAATTCATCAGTGCATTACTAAGCTTTTTGCTTTCTACAACTTTCACCGGCCTCTTTCCACTGTTTTATCTGACAGCTCAAATGCTGCAGGGTTGTAGTCACGGCAAAGGTCAAGAACAACAGCAGGGCTATAAAATGAGATTCTTTCAGGGGGGAGGCTTCCAAGTACAAACAAGTTTATTGAGCACAAGACAATGAGATGAGAGCTCACATCTCAACAAATTTATCTAAGTGGCTACCATTATTTTTGAAAAAACATTAAGAACCTTAAGAAAGATTTAGAACTTTTACATACTCTTGCTGCGTATACAGATGTGTTTTACTAAAGACTAATTTAATTGAGCATGATGCTCAACTAAAAAATAAACAGAAAATGCCTTCTTCCTTTCATAAAGACAAGGTTTGCAATGCTACAAATGTCAAGTTTAAAGCTAAGAGTTTTGTTATGTCTTTAATGTTTCATAATCAGTGGTAACAATAAGGCGAATTTGAATTACCTTTCACAATGTCCAATAGTACTCTTATCTAGTCAAGGAACAGGTTCAGTGTCTGAATAAAAAAGCCACAACTGAAATTTCTGCTAAAAAAGAAGACGAAGATGGTATCTTAGCTTCCTATTCTGTCAAAACGTTGATTTTTACACATACACATATTGAGTGTGTGCAAGGAAAAAAAGAATTTAAAAAAGCATGATATAGTCTCTGCATGAAAATTCATTCAGATATGATTTTGACAATAGACCAAAAACTGACTATTGTCAGCATCTGACTACTATTATAATGCAGACATTACATAAAAACATACTCAAAAGCAAGTCACCCATTAAACGTTATTAGGCTAAAACACCAATGGTTTCAGATATATGTACAGTTGATCAACATTTTGCATTCTCCAGATCGTATATTAAAACATTTAATTCAAGCAAGAATAGTTGTAGCGGATTGACCATGGTGGGATAAATAATTTTTATTCTTAAAGTGGTTATATGTGATTAATTTTTCCAACTAGTCCCCACTCATGCAGATAACTGTACAATATGTTGTTGGATGAGATAAATATCATGTTTAGAGACCTAGGATTCTTCTGATTTTCATTTTTAGGTTTCATACTTATATTCGAGACTAGATGAGATGTTTAAATTGGGAAGCTTGGATGAAAAATTACGTATGTTCTGTTTTGAGCATACGTCTGTGTTTTTGTATTGTTATTCAGAACATCTAAGGAAGTACATGCTATTATTCTATCTTTATTCTGCATTCAGACCATAATAATAACAATAACAATAACGATAACAATAACAATAATAATAATAATAATAATAAACTATTCATAATTATTTTTAAATTTGAAATATTGTCATAAGCTATTTCAGGCAAAAGATCTGATTTTGCAGAGAGAAACTGAATTAATTTATCTTGAAACTCCTTAGCATGCATTGATTTCTATTGCATTGTCTGCCAAACTGTTTATCATTTGTCACCGTAATTTTATATGTGTATACTGATCCCCCCATAATGCTTAATGGAGATACAGAGGAAAAGAGAAGCAAATGATTTACACAAAGAAAGCAGTGAGACTGATGTACTGAATAGTCTTTAGAGGAAAAAGGAAATCCTGTAAAAACACTAGCAGAATAAGTAAAGGTTTACAGGGAAAAAAAAAAATTTTAAAGAAAGTCTCAATAAGTGATATTTAGAGTGGTATAGTGAAGAAAAAAGTGCTGTATCATTATCTAAGGTTGCTGTAAGAACAATATATAGAGTAACCAAATTTAACTAGAGATAAATATAAAAGATATAACATATTAAATAGAAAGTATTTCTATCTCTAGAATAATTTGTATTATTCAAAATCCAGGAAGGAGAGAAGTTCCACTTTGTGTCAAAGAAGATTTCACACACAGAATTTTGTAAAACGCTTAACATTATATAGGTAATTTTTCATATTGTAAAAATACTAAAAAATCGCAGAAGATACCAAATCATACAAACTATTACTAGTTCATGTTGGCCATATGAATCCAGATATAAAACTAGTAAAAATATTTTAAATGTGTTTATAAATATTTCAATTATAACATTTTTTCTTTTCCATGCAGAAATTAATGTCTTTGAATAAGTAATGCCAGGCTATGGCTAAGACTCCATGAAAACCATTTTCCTGGGTTGCAACACATAGAAAAGAGATATGAAATTGAGATCATTGGCTGAAAAATTAACTTCTTAGTTATCTGGTTTGAGAGCCAAGGCACAATTCATTTCTAGTAAGACCTTCAGCTTTACTGTGGACCTTGATAGGAAAAAATTAAATAAATGCTTAAAAACATTAACCAAAACTTTTCCAATTAAATTCGGTGTGCTTATTACACATACAGTTTAGAGTGAAGAAAACCCATATCAGAATGAATCCTCAGCAACAGTGTAATTGCTGTGTGTCTTGCAGCAAAGTTCTCTCCATTCTAGAGTCTACAAAAGGAGGGTCCCCATCTTGTCTCATTCTTAAACATATCCCAAACAAAAGTAAAAAATGTAGTTACTGCAAAGGCAATAATAAAAGAATGATACAACCTGCTAGACTTTTAAAAATAGAAGTGCATTTTGATAATAGGGATGTAAGTCATCCTTCCCCTTTAGCACTGCCTGTTGTGAGACAGTTTTGTGACCGGAAGTCAGACCCGCATGTCCCATTTTGCTTCAGCTACTCAACACAGCAGAAGTATTCATCCTGCTTCAGTGCACACCGCAGCCTATCATTGAACAATTAGGCATAAAAGATATCTATATCCAGAAGACTGGAGGTGTAAAACATAAGCACAATTTAGATTTTCTATGTATATCACCAGTTCAGTAAAAATGCTTAGATTGTATGTTACAGGCACTTACATAATTATGTTCCAATATTTACATAAATTATATCCAAAGTTGTCATACGATCCAATACTTATCCGATGGGTTGACCTTGCCAGGTGATGACCCAGCTGCTCTTTCACTCCCCTTGCTCAACAGGACATGGGGAGAAGTGATGGAAAAGCTCATAAGTCGAAAAAACAATAGGGAGCCCACTCATCTATTACCATCATGGGCAAAACAGACTCAATTTGGAGAAAATTAGTTTGATGTATTGTCAATTAAAAAAAGACTATGATGGTGAGAAACAAAGCAAAGGTTAAAATACCTTCATCCCCAAATTCACTCCAACTTCAACTGGTCAACTTCAGCCTGTCATTCCCAACTCTTCTACCCACCCCGTGTCCCCAAGCAGTGCAAGAGGAAGATGAGTGGGGGATCAGTCCACAACAGCTCCCCTTTGCCTCTCCATTCTCCTCACACTTTTCCTCTGCTCTGGCACGGGGTCCTCCATAGGCTGCAGCATGGATATCTGCACCATCATCTCCCTCTTTCATAAGCTGCTGGAGAATCCCTGCCCTGGAGCCTGGAGCACCTCCTCCCCCTGCTTCTTCACCAGCCTTGGTGTTCACAGGGCTGTTTCTCATGTCTTTTTCCCCATTCCACTCTCAATGTGGTATTTTGCCCTTTCTAAAATCTGTTTTCCCAGAGGCGCCTCCACCTCGGCTGCAGGCACAGCTGTGCCCCGTGGGGGGTGCACTGGAGCCGAATGGATCCGACTGGGACAGGTCCGCGGCAGCCACAGCCTCTTCTCACAAAGGCACCTGCTGCCAGCATCAGTCCTGTTCAGCCATATAAACACATCCTTATCTTTTTTATTTAGCTTGTGTCATCAAAGATACATCTTATACACAGGAAAACTAGAGTGAAGTGGAAATTGAGATCAGATTTTAAAAATTTGCATCACTGTGCTGCATAAGGTAAATACACGTAGTTTTCCCTTTTCATCTAAAGAACTTTATTATGTCAAAAAATTTGGACTCTTTCCTTCTCTCCTTGCTACATAATTAATTCTGTCTGCTTTTATAATTTCTTTCACACTTCATATACCAAACTTCCTGTTGTTCCTTTACAGCTGATTTTCTGATTTAACATATTTGAGGAACTGAAGCAGCAGTATATATGATAAAACTGAGTAAAAGCATTAATTGAGCTCAGACATCAGTAACATGGATAGTGTCTCATCTGAGGCTGCCAGAAGTATCATGTGTCCAGTTTTTCTGATACTCAAAAAATATTTTCAATCAAAAATACTGGTCAGTGTAAAGACAATTCTAGTTTCAAAAGCATCTTTTCACCTTTAAAGTCAAATTTTCACAGAATTTGCATAGAATTCTTCCTTTATATTGCCCACAACTCCATATTCAATCCAGTTTTCCATACTGCCAACCTGCTTCATATCAGCTTCAGTTAATTGTTCATGTCTACCTCCAGGCTGAATGCAAGCCTGAATGCACCCCACATCTTGAAGATAACCCTTTCTGGTATCTTATTTTAGTGATACAATTAGTTATCCTTCTCAATATATCCACTGATATAAAAAGTAAAATTATAAATGTAACAAATAAAATGCCTGCAAACTTTGTCAGCCCCAGTGACAGGAAAAATATGCCTAAAACTGTAATACTGAGAGTGTACATCTTAATTTCTTATGAGCACTACTATGCAGTAGAGAAGCATTTACAACTTGAATAGATGTGTCATTGTAAGGACAGAAAGTGCATCTTTTATTAAATAAGAAAAAAAATAGTAGTATTTACAATATTATGCTTTTGTGATTAATACTGAAAGCATGACTAACTGTAATACACACTGTAGAAAAAGATTAACTCAAACTTAAAATTCAGTCAGAAAATAGTATTTAGATCAAAATTAAAACTCAAAGAATAAATCATCATTAAAGTAACAACAAATGATAAGATATAGTGAGGTAATTCTTCAGTGATTTTAACATGACTGATACAATGAAATAAAAAATATACCTCAATTATATAAAGAACTAATATTTGTGGTGAAACTGACCCTACTTGAAGAAGCTTTAGTACAATTTGTAGAATAAATTAAAGATGGCAGAGTCATGAAATACCTAAGTTCTAGCAATTTCTTAGAGGTACCAAAACTTTTTATGATTGTTAAATATTTAACTATATTTGTGGCAATAGCATCAACCACAAAAATTCAGTCTGGTATTTTTGAAAATATATAATAGCTGTTATCATAGTTATTTGCCATTTTCTGCTAACTATTAAAAATTAATTTCAGATAAGGGTTGTATGAAACGCATAATAATACATAAACCAAGATGAAATCTAACTTCGATGAATTTAAGGTATTGCAGGAAGTCACACAAACCTCTGTTTAACAGTACTCCATTCTATACCTGGGAAGAAGACCTTTAGCTTTCTTTTATAAATAAAAACATAACTTTATAACTGAAATAAATAAATTAGATAAAATAAAAAAATAAATACTTAAAAATAAATAAAACACCCCCCTAAAAATATATTTTTAGGGTTTAAAGGAACTCAACTCAGTTCTGTGTAGTTGGAAAAGTATTGTAGTAAGAAGTACTTTATCTGTGGAAAAAAAGGTCAGTGGGCTGGATTTAATTTTTTTCAATGCATCTATATGAGGAAGCACCAAGAACATCACGTTGAGTGACTTTGATAGTTTATTGAAAAGCTGCATAAGCTAATAATCCATGGTTGTGTGACAATGTCAGTGTCAGTGATAAGTGAACACAGCTTGCTATGATACATGCTGTATCCATCTGCAAGTGGGAGTTACCTCATGGAACTTTTTTAATATCAACTAAACAGCCATTCATATTCCAATTTCAAAGCTCTGACCTACAGATAAGCATATTAGAAGGCTGTGACAACAGATGAAATTTAAGCTTTATGATGATGTTATTCAGATATTATGACAACATGTCTCAGAGAACAAAAACAACACCCCAAATTTGTGCACATGTATATGTTAAGAAACATTACTGTGTCCTCTATCTTTAATACCATTGCAAGTATCTTGTAAAATCTTGAAAGCACTGAAAAGGAGTCAGAAGAAGGTCTTGAAGGTGTGAAGAAGGATAACTAGATTTCTCATTTACATGAAGTAAATTCTAATATAAATTTAAAACATCTCAGTGTCAAGGTTCACAAAATAGATGAGACAATTTCAAGACATAAAAACAAAAAGCAGCAAATTAGTTAAACTACATAACTTTTACTGTCTCAGGCAACTTATTCTGCTGTTACTTTATAAGAAAGATACTTCATCTTCAGGTAAAGCTATACAGTCAGCCAGAATGATACTTGTTGTCACATCAACTTTTTATTCTTCCACATCTGAATATATGATTGGAAAGAATGACTGAAGAATAGCTTTTCTCACACAGGAAAGTAGATGAAATATAGACCTTCCTCTCCTGATTTCATTGTTAGAATTTGAAAGACATAGAGCAGAACAATGACTGTTCATTTTTGCTAAAATCATGGTTCAAAGATAGATTGGCCTAATCATTTGAAGCCAATGACAAGAAACTTGATAGTCTTAAAAGGATGAGAGAAATTACTTCTGGCTGAAGATAGCAAAGTGGGTGGATCAGCCTAACAATAGTTATCACAGTTCTTTCCTTAAACTATCTGTAAAAAAATATAATTTTTTATGGAATGCTGTAACAATCCAATAACTATGAAAAATACTTTTTCTTCACTATATTAAATAATAGAGATTTATTAAGAATATCAGAGAACTCCCTAATGTTCCAATAATATCAGTGACCACACAGGAAGTTTTAATTCTTATGTACCCACTAGAACATTCACAAATATACAGTGATCTTCTTATTTAATACTATGCACAATAGGGATTAGATAGTCTCTTCCTAAAAGTTTGAAACACAATTCTGATACTGTGTCTATTTTCACAAGTAGTGGATGATTACAAATGGTCAAAGCAATGAAGACCCTACAGCTAAATTATGTTCACTTGGATGGGAAGATTTTTATGGTGCTATAGTTAGTTTGACCATCTGGACTAAATACAATCCATGCCAAAATCCCGCAAGGGCCGAGAGCTCTCTCCAGGCTGGTGACAGTGGAGGCAACCCATGGTGGGAAACAGGACAGGTTCTGGCAGACCCGCTTTCCCAATCAGGAACTGGCAGCCAGAGGGCACTGTGGCAGTCTCAGCACCTGCACTGGGCAGCATCTTAGAGAGGGTAAGGATCTGACCTAGTGAGGGCAACCAGTGTCTGATACAACCCTGGAGTGACTGTACAGATCTGTGGAGATGGACTCAGGATGTCAGCCCACAGATGGAGTGGTATGAAACACCTTTTCTCACAACCACAGACAAAACTACACTTGAACCTTTGGTGAGCCCAGTAGAGAGAAGCTGGAAAAGAAAGAATTAAGAAAAATGAAAAATAAAAAAAAAATAAAATTATAGTAGCTCAATAACAAGATACAGTAGGCAAGGAAAAGACAAGAACAGGGAATTTATATGAAGACAAGAAAAAAACCCTCTGTGGAAGACAAAGGATTTAGCTGTAAAACCTGAGGGCTGGTGACTGACAAATTAGTTTTGTCTTCATATAGAGCATTTCAAATATGATGAGAGTTCTCAGTGTTTTGAAAACTTTCTTTTTGTATGAGTGCTTGGTAGGCACTGAAGTAAGTGGTACAACCCCTGTATTTTCAATTCTCCTATCTGCCCTACAAGAAAGAACAGGGTGCTCTGCTGGAATGGATTTTCCAGTTTATTTTAGTCTGAAAGTAATCTTGCTTATTATATACTTTGTAGTCAAAACCAAACACAATAAATTAGAAGGTTCGAGAGGTTTATTTCAGAAGTACATTACTGCTCCAAACTAAAATGTTAATGAAGATTCATCTTCTGTCAAATTTTAACTTTGGGAAAACTAGAATTAGTACTAGAAAACACTCCCATCAACATCACTTTTCTCTGCTTTTCTGTTGTAGGGCAGTCCCTAGAGAAGCTATGAAGTGTCATCATCTTGTAAAAGCATGGAATTTACGAACTGTATTCAAATATTGGCAACACATACTGGCTCAAAGTCATGAAATTTGGAGAGCACAAGCAAAGCATATCCAAAAGGAACAGACCCTAATATCAGATACTGTAAAAGTGCAGAATGAGACAAATACAAAGGGACGTAAAATATCTCAGACACATTAAAGAAGAAACAATTGATCAACCGGATAGGAAAACTGCAAAATCAACACAATAAATGCAGTAACTTTAAAATAAGCTAACTCATCCACATAATGAGATATGCTTTCTACTCTTCCTACTTTCCACCTTTGCTATTATTTAATGTCAGCAGTATATTATTTATGAATATGCCATTATGAGGCAGCATATGTAATTCTATTGTTAGATACTAAAACAATGAAGAAAAATTACTGTTTTCTACTTCCCTACTTTTTCTTTCAACTCCCTGTTAACAGAACAAAACTTCAATCAGGATAGTAATTTAAAAAAATATCAGTTAGTAAAACCAAAACCATGAATCTATAAACCTAGTAGTCATAAAACTACAGACAATTATTTTTAGTGATTCGGTACGACAAAAAACCCACTCTCTGTACTCTATATCAATTTAGAAAAATGTGTAGCTAGCTGAACGTGAGACATATTTGTTTTCCTGAAAATATTAGGCAGTTATCTAAGAAAGTAGAGACACAGTACTCCTTCCTAGTAAATTAAATTTTCTGACCTCAGCAAAACAAGACCACACACAGATATACGCATTCTTATTAAAAATTAGGCAAAACCTCATAAATAACAGTGTGGACTTTTTGAACATGTAATTCCCAAAGATCTTTTAGAGAAATTATATCTTGAAAAACCATATACTATTTAAATTCTTGTGGTTACTTAACTTCAGTTTCTGTCTGCAAATGGTCTGTTCTGTTCCTCTGTCCAACAGTTCAGTGTATTTTATATTTTGTTTGAGAGATGGCTGCATTTTAGAATTGGATTAAATAATAACCAATATTCCACCTTATGTAAATTTGAAAAATACTTTGCAATGAAAAGTATTTCACATTTTAACATGTGAAATTATACACAGGTCATTGTCTAAAATGAGTTTGTCTTTTGGAAGACAAAAGATATTAAAAGAATCGGGGATGGTGTTATGTATTTCCTTACCAGAAACCGAAAGCAGGACATACTTTTTATCACTGTCTCCATTATTCCTGGTTATTTCCAATGACCCTCTAATTTATTAGTTGTGAAGAATAACAAAAACTTAAACATAATTTAAAAAGGTGATGTAGATTGAAGACTGATCCACAAGGGTCTGTTTTACTTCATTACAAATATATGTAAAAATCTATTTTTACATGGAACACAATCCTTACAACAAGTCTTGATATCCGGAAGGGAACAATAGTGGCGGTCTGTGATTTCTGTTGCATCTCTGAGGATCTTTCGAAGTCTTATCATTGTAATTTCAGTTAATTACTTCTTGATGAACTCTGTCAAATTAAGTAATAGCAATATTCCTGGTTTATATGTCAGGAAAAGCATTATCCATATCATGGTAAAATTTGATACAATATCTGATTTTTTTTTGAATCTAAAAAAAATATTTCCTTTATTGCTTAGCTGTAAAATTCAGGTAATTTTTATAATACAGGGATTATATGTAGCCATATGTATTACCTGTTCATTTACAGTACTTTTTTTTCTGTTCAATTTTCCAGTGGCCAAAGTAGTATGTAATTTTAGAAATACTACTGAGCAAATTATTTCAACCAGTTGTATAGAGAGGGAGAAGTGAAAAATGTCAATTAAAATACTTGTATAGATACCAAGAAAGTTTGCAACTCTAACAAAAATGTTCAACTTAATATATATCTACATATATTTAGAGACACTACAAACACTCTGATGTTAAGTATTTTATTTTGTCCATTACTAAACTAGACATCTGTCCTTTTCTGATATTTGGAATTGGTTTCCATTTTTAATTTAGTTTTAATATTTAGAATGTGTTAGTTATATTTAGATCACAAATAAGTAAACCACAATATACACATACTATTTTTCTGTTCTTCCCCAGAACTGTCAGCAAATTGATAGATATAAGCAGAACTAGCCTCAAAAATTCAAGAAAAACATCTGCAGAGCACGTGCCCTGAAATTATTTCAAGAGATATTCACATTTTTGAGATTGAGTTCTGCCTTCCAAGTAAGGGAATGCCTGCTTTGCAGCCTGGGGTTAACCACTTCTGTAGAGAAACTCTTGTGCTTAATGTTTCTCATTAATTAACTCCAGGCATACCCTAATGGGAATATTAGGTACATAGACTACCATTAGTCAACAGAGCAAGGCAGAGTATTTTGTCTTCAAATTGTTTTGCAAAGGAGTGTACTTCTCTTCACAGAGAAAGGTTATTGCCTGCCCACAAAGGACATCTGCTTGATAACAGAGTATATAGCTCCCTAATGTCCAACTTTTGAAGCCTCAGATAGAATATAGCTTCCTTTATAATTATGAAAATTGAGAAAAGGTACATTTTCATATTCAATTGACTGTACTTTTCAGAAACATCAAAAATCTTTTTAAACAAATCAAATTCATTTTTCAAGGGTGGTGGATACAAATTTCTGGACAGCCAATCCCAGTTAAATTTACTTGTAGGCTTTCAGCTAAGCTGATGGAACATACAGATTTGTCTACATTATAAACAAAATGTTCAGAATCCACAAAAATTATCTAAACAAGAATTACAGATAATAAGAGAAAATATGTGCAGGTAATTCAAAGATGATGACTGTATTTCTGTATATCATTGGCATATTTTCAAAAAATTGTCAAAGTTCCAAAAGGCAAATGTTGTTAGTTTTAATTCTGTATAATCAGCCTTTTGAATTCTGTATTCAGATCCTAGATGAAGAATATTCTTAAATCTCCAAGTTTACTGCACGTGCAGAGAAAATAGCACATCTCACACAACCAGCTAAAATGGCATGGATTTATTTATGCATATAGACACAGATTATTAAATATAATTATCTATCTAGCCATCAGCTTCATCTAACATAGTTCCAACATTTTAATTGGAATTAAGACTCATGAGACTGTGCCTTATTGATTCATTAACAACTGCATCAAGTGTACTGTCAAGCATAAGGCTAAAGTTTGCATACTTCAAGCCTCCGGAGAGATTTATTAATAAATCACTTCTAAAAAACTCAGTGTAGGTCATTATTACAATATGGCATAGAATTATTACATATGGCTTATAAAAATAACACAACAACATCTTTGGAAAACTTTCCAATTGTTGAAAACAACTCTCAAGGGAGGAAACTGACAAGTTATATAAAAAGACAGATGACACAGAGACCAGGAGCTGAGCGGCTGAGACTTTCTTGCACTTAGACCGTGAGGGTATAAAACCTATTGGTTCCTTTGTTTGGGGTCCCTCCTAAGAGGCACCCAGCGCAAGCTTTTATTTTGTTTCTTAGTTATTGCAACAACCTGTCAATATTTCAATCTGTGAAGCAAGTACTGACATTCATTATTGGCTAACTTGAAAAATTAAAGACAACATCATTTTTTTCTGCTTTTGTGGGAATTTTCTTATATCCCATTAACAAGCTAACACCTACTGAATGCCAAAAGGTCAGACTTAATAATTTCAGGTTCCTGCCTACAGTTCCTTTGTGCCTTTTTCCTTTCACATGTGCCAACCATATGCTCACTTAATGAACCCCTTCTTTACCTTATCTCACCTACACTTTGTCTGACTGTTTTGAATCCAAGACTTCTGCTTGACATTTCCTTCACTGTTTCATTATTTTTATCCAATACTCTCCCAAATTATCTTAGCTTTCATTTTTCTTTCCAACAGAAAAAAAAATTAAAGAATACTGTATACAATGCATGAATTAATGCAACAAACACACTTTGCAGAAGAGATATCTCGAGTTAGTTACCTTTCAGTAGACTCTATTACTTATCTGTTAATGCTGTCTTTTACACTGTACCCAATGTCATTTTACAGGAAAGCCATTTCCCTCACTGATTTGACAAATCAGTCTTGAAACAATGCTTTTAATTACTCTGTTTGAAAGAACAAAAATTAAAGTTTCTTTATGCTCTAACATTGTAGAAGCAACACAATGAATAGTAAAAGAAGAGCAAAATCATTGAAACACTGTTTATTTAAAGAGGTAACTATACAGCTAACATGATTATGTCATTTTATATTAGTAATTGCAAAATGTCCCTGAGTAACACATTTTGAAACTCGCATCTAAGGTTACTATGCAATGATTTCTCTTGTTGACATGCCCTATAATCATATCTTTGCTTAGGGAGAGGTCCAGGGCTTTCTTTGGTTTTTTTTGCCCTAACATTGACAGCTACCTCAAGAACGATAGTTCAGTGGAAAAGCCACGTTAACTCATTTCTGTGTCTGGAAGAACGAAAAAGTATTTATACACCTAGACCCTTTTTGTTGTTTCCTATAATCTTGGTACTTTTACCCCAGCAGACCTCTGTTAATCAGACACAACATCCACGTGGATAACGCATCCAAGTTCTCTCTCCATGGCATCCTAAGTGTAAAAAGTAGGATACCGTGAGTACAGCTTTCTTGTTGCAAAGTGAGAATGGCAGCCAACATATGTTCACTTAGCTCATGTAAAATGAAAGTTAGAGAAGAAAAAATTAAAACTACAACCAGTTACAGGATTTATGATTATTTCTCATTCCCCAGTTGAAAAATGTCATGACTGGTATTTTCCTCCTTGACATTAATTTTTCATGAATACAAAAATTTTATAAAACATTTGTTAAGAAGAGATTAAGGGAGTCAAGCATATTATTTTAGGTACTGTGTTAAGGACCTTAAATTATCAAAGACATTCATATTAGGCTGGACATATGACATCCACAGAAGATTTCTATTCTTCAGTAAGAACTAATGGAGTTCAGACCAGGCAAGGCATTTAAGATGTTGCTAGATATCTACATTCAGTCATGAATATTGCACTCAGTGTCTCATGAATCAGAGGTCATAGTCACAGTAGGTTGTGAATATGTGTTCCTATAAAATTGAAGTTTTAAAAAAAAATTGATCTCCATTTATTATTTTTTGAGGTAAACCTAAGGGAACATTCTGGTCCCATATATCATTTTACTCCACGCTCTAATTCTTATGTGCGCAATTATTATTTAATATAAACAGATATTCTTATAATTGAAGCATGTTACTTAAGTCACTGAA